AGTCACATGGGAGGAAGTGCACAGGAGACCCCCGATCAATTTACAGGCTCTAGTCACATGGGAGGAAGTGCACAGGAGACCCCAGATCAATTTACAGGCTCCAGTCACATGGGAGGAAGTGCACAGGAGACCCCAGATCAATTTACAAGCTCCAGTCACATGAGAATACCCCAGGACAAAAAGCTCATCTGCTCTTTTATTGAACCTCTGTGTGGTGCTGAACTCTTTGTGGTACACTAATTAATGCAAGAACCTTGTAAATATTTACATTATATACTAGACTTCCATAATGGTGATTCTTCTCACTTTTATGTGCTGGCCAATACTCATTTATGAAAGTGTCTGAAGGAAGAACTGTCTGCGTTGCTCATTACTAAAACACACTTTCCTTAAAGTGTAACAGAAGTCAAAACTTTTTTTTTCTTTTAGTTTTGGATAGTGCAGGGAAAGTGTAAGCCCTAACAGCCTTTTTTTTTGCCATCTGAGTCCCATTAGGGAGATTTCCCTTTACTTCCTGTCCAATAGCCACAACAAGCTACATGCGTTGGGGTGGCATTAAAGAGGAATAAAGTCACCTTTTAGAAATGTTTAGTAATGACAATCTACAAAGACACGCGTCTAGATAATTGCCGGCTTTGTATTCTATGCATACCTAATTTCTCTTTTCTTCCCCAGTCTTGGTGTCCATTTTTAATAAGGGCAGATTCATATATCTCCCTTTACTTCCTGGAACCCATAAACATGCAGATCTGTCATTGCACTGTAGGCTCTATGATTTGTTTATTCCGATTGTTTTTTGAGTGATATGTGGATTGTTTTTGGTTATTACATGTTGGGAATTGCTTGTTATCCCATCCCATAATCACAAGGGAGGCTTCATTCACACCTACACTTAAGGTGCGATTTGGTATTCCTGCATTAGGAACTTGCAGATTCCTGCAGCAGGAATTCCAAATCTGCCATTTAGAAGCGGTAGTTGTCAGCCATTCAAGTTAATGATCGGGTGACAGCGGGCGCATTTGATAGCGGCAGAACACTGCCACTCCGCATCACTATCCCTGGATGATTGATGCATCCAAGGATAGTGATCTATTGCAGTGGTAGCCAAACTCCGGCCCTCCAGCTGTGGTGAAACTACAAATCCCATGATGCATCTCTCTCCGGGATTCGTGGCTGCGAGACTCTTGCAATGTCATGTGATTTGTAGTCCCCCCCCCCCCCCCCCCCCCCCCCCGGCGCTGCCCCGGGC